TTGGGTGGCCAGCCAATGTACAGGTCAGAACTTTTTTATCCTCCCAGATAATCTTGGGTCAATTAGCCGACCCCGGAGAGATGAAGGAGTGGTTTGCCATTTGCCACTACACCACCTCCGTTTTGTAGTAAAGAATACTATTATATTAGGTTGTAAGGAAAGTTCTTGCAGTTTCGACAACTAATTTTTAAAATATAATATCATGAATTATCTCATGATGAATTTTTATTCAGTAGAAGACCCACTCGATTCCACCCATCTTGCCAAGGTGATACAAGTTTGTTGTTTCATCCTCATGAAAGTTCGGTGACCTGGATTCTACAATTGCGAGAGAGGCAGCTCCCACATCGCTTCCATTTTCGAATTCTCAGTCCTTCAAGAAGTGTTCAGATGTTCGAAGAAATGGAAGTCAGTTGGTGACAGGACTGACGAGTAGGTGGATGGAGGAGAGCTTCGATCCGCAGCTTCTTCAACTTTTGGAAGACTACTTGTGACATATGCGGTGCAAAAGCAGACGATTCAATACTGCTGACTGAATTCGCTCCAGTTTCGTGCACATCTCGTAAATTCGATCTTGTTGGGACTATGCGGTAATGGTTTGATCAGGCGAAGTATCGAGTAGTGGATTAATCCATGGTCAGATCACCAAACTGCAATCATTGTCTAATAAACGTGTAGAACAGGAAGAGTTTTTGGAGGCTCATCTACACTTATTCACCATGCTTGACGTTTTCTTTTGTCGCATCCATCCATTTTTATCTTAGGTCACAGTACGATGAACGAATGACTCAATATCGCTTGCTCCCAGCAAGGAACTTGAAATTTCTAGGCGCCTCAATCGCTGATGTTTCGTGAGTTTATGTGACACCACTTGTCAAGCTTCTACACCTTTCCTAGCTGCTCGGGGTGCAGAAACGACTGCATGGGAGACACCCATATGCTTGGTAACCTCTATCAAAAGTTGACGTCAACGTTCTTTGACTGCTCCTAGCAAGGCATCGCGATCAACAAACGGTGGTCCACCAATTCGCTCTTTGCCTTCCAATTACTCGTCTTCATATCTAAATTCCTGAAACTAAGGACGAACAGCTCACTCCGATGCGTACCTTCTCCCCATGCAACCATGATGTTTGTGACTGCCTCCTTCGCTGTTCGACCATGACCATGAAATCGTTAAGTAAAACAGCTCGTAACCGAGAAGCATTCTTACTCATTCTAAAAAAAACCTCTAAAAGATTTTCAAAACTGTACACAATTTCGGGAAAAGAGCTCGGACATATAGAATAACTTATGGCTCACCTGAGGAGCACATTACTTCGCTTGTATGATTTGAAAGGCGACAAAATTTGAATTTACATGGCGCGTGCGTAGAAACGGCAAGGGCTTCCTTCACAACCGAATACCTATTGTTTATTTATTTATTTGTTCACTTGATTTTTGAATGCGCTCGTCAGTGCCTCACAGAAATCTCACAGAATAGATTACATAATCATGCCAAATGCTGAAGCAAAACACAGGTGAACATGGGCAGTGTAGGAAAAAGATATTGTGTGGTAATATTCTCAAAAAAAGATGTCTACTAGACTATTGGTGGATGGTATTATTTACCATTGTTTCCCTGTCTTCGATGTTTATTCCAATAATCGTCTCACTACTGCATCATCTACGCTGGGAGCAGTTTAGAACACGAAATGACAATAGGCATGTATTGTTCAATTCTACAATGGTAGGGCTCAGATATCAAATTCTGTGAGCAATCGATTTCAAAACGTCAATCAACTCTGGTCAGTCTTGGACTTGGAGTAAGTGAAACAAACTCGCGTTGTTGAAAGATGTAGATCCTATCCTCTTCTCCAGCGTATGACCCTCTTAGAAGTTTGGTCAGCTTTGGCGTACTGACGTCACTTCTCCGTTTGAATGCTTGAATGGATTGAAGGCCGACCGACTTCATGCACTCATGCAAGATACCGAGAAAGCGCTGCTTTAGACATCGCCATTACTCAGGTTGGTTGAGGTTAGGGCAATCTGACAAATACTGTCTTTGTGCGTGCGCAGGACATTGCAGCACCATCGGAAGCGAGCTTTGCACATTTCATCGCCAATAGGGGCTACTCCGAAAAGCCCACTTACTGCAACGTTACAAACATGGGTCGAGCGTGTAAGCCAAGCAGTCGAATGTAGCATCTTCGTTTCCATTACTTCGAAGTGTGCTTCAATTTCTTTTAATCAAAGCCAGCACCCTGCGTGAGTCGCGACTGGTCATGCGGCGATTTTATAGACAATAATGATATTACAATCTGCGAAAATGTTCATAGTATAGAAACTTCATTCAGATCCTCAATAGAAAGTTATAGTGAGCACACTATTACAACAAGCGTGTGCAATGCCGCAACTCTTATCCACTAATTCCTTATCTCACGAGTAGGTCTACAATGCGAAAACGTCGAGGCATCAGACACCCTAAACATTTGTTGTAAAACTTGTAATACAGTTTCTCTGTAATTCAATGTAGAATCCGAACTATTAACTGACATCAGCAGCAACCAGTTTAACGTTGTTTTTACGAAATCGGAAAAGGTAATAGTCAAATGTCGGATAAAGAAGCTTTCGCTGACACTTGTTTCGTGAAATATGACAGACATTATTACAATATACTTTAATGCAAACATTACACTTTGTAATGATGTGAACACCGAGAACTGAACCAGATGTGTTCAGTTGTAGGGTAATAGATCAACCTATCCACTTTTGGTGCGGCACGACGTCTTCACCTCGGAAAGGTGGCTATGGTTCTACAGTAACGGTGAGTTCACTGAGTGTCGCTGATGTTTGGAAGATATCTTGATTGGTAGGTTGACTTATCCATAAGCTCGGTGATCACCGTGAGTAAAAGGGTCTGGTGGATTCGTATCAGGTCGACTTTTTCGGTAGAAACTTTGGTAAAATAGGCATATTTCAAAGAGGGGAGGGGGGAGGTGGGGTAGAAGGGGGACGTAACAGCCTAGTGCTATCGAGCAACTATTGCCACTGGGGATTGTCTTGCTGTTTCCCATTCAGAGTGTTTTCATTTATCGATTCCTGTTCGGATTTTTCTCGTATTGATGTTATCTGTCCATACTGTGGGGCGGAGGTGTTGTAGTGGGCAAGTGGCGCCAATATCACGCACGCATAGCCACGGGTTCGAATCTGTGATCGATAATTGTCTCAGTCAACCAAGCTTTCCATCCCACCTGTGGGTCGCCCTATTGGTAACAGGGTCGTCTGGGAGGATAAAAACACTGACCTATCCATTGGCTAGGCACCGCAACTCATTGTAGAGGCCACGTACGCATTCTATACATCAGTGCGATTCTGAGTGGAAGTCTGATGCTGGAGCGCATCACTCAGACGGGATTGATTGATTACAAAGACTCTAAGGTTTTTTATTCATATTCTACTCTGGGCGTACCCCTGTTTCTTATCCATAACCTTTGGGTAATAACCAAAAAAGCTGTAGTGAACCACTGAAAAGGCTGAATTGCAGAGAGGTCACTGAATATAACAAACAGCTCATCTCCCTGATTGGTGTGCTTGCTACAGCTTCAATTCTGAAACTGTTGCATGGTTTTTCAAAGAAATTCTCGTAAAGTGGGCAATTTGTTTATCAATTTCCCGTCGATGGCTAGCAAAGGAAACGGGAGGCGGGATGATACATGAATGCATCATCACACACAACTTGCAACTGTTCTTTGACGTTGATTTCGATACGACCAGCTTTATATGCACTCTCTGGTGCCAATCATGCGCTCGTTTTCCTTTCTTCGACAATCACTGGTCGAACGGCATTGTGGTTACAGGTCGAGTTCTAGAACTCTCCATCCTTTCACTGTAGGTCTGAAGAATTGCGGTGCCCAGGGCCGATCTTTTCGTTAAACCGTCCCTTCTTACAGCCTACATAGTTCAATGCCTCGAAGCGTTCACATAAAGATCTTGTCGAGTCGTTGAGTATGAGCTGGAATTGAAGCTTTGTACACGGTTGTGCTGGTGCAAGTAGTGTGAGAGGAAATGCAGTCGTTCATTTCACCGGAAAAGAAAAGCCAGAAAAGAAAGAATGCTCCAATCAAATATTAAGGGACCGTTCACCTTTGAGCAACTTGAATCGTCTCAAAGAGTCCGAAATCATCAGGTACCCATCTCGATTCAACGATGGGCACTAGACGCTGTACCTGCTTTTCGAGAGTAACAAGCCCAACTCAGTGCAATGAGCAACATGCTTACTTCGGAGATAGAAGTCCCACGAAAGATTGCCAGGGAATGCAGTGACGTCCACAAAGTCGTTCCTTTACTATCTCTTCTGGGCAGTATAAGTAGCATTTTAAACTTACGTCATCAGAGGAACTCAAATTAAAAGTTATTGAAATGATTCAGAAAACGAACAACGTGTGAGTCATTTTCCTTCTATGACAGACACGACCATAAGAAAACGTGAGCATTTCGCCGAACACTACCGAAGGTGAACCAATGCTTATGTAATATGAAGGTGTCGATTCGAAAAAACGAAGTACGGTCGTAGTTTGACGAATTCTCAGGATCGATCTGACGAGAGAACTGTATTTATTCCTGCCTACTCTGAAGTAACGTGATCACATGCCTTTACCTTACATTTTCGATATGTGTTCTTATTTCACCCCTCTCACATGATGTTGCCTTTAGCTTTATGAATTCCTCTTCTCTTCATTCAAGTCTGTGGTTGGGTTTGAATCCCGTCCAGCCCGTACTTTTTGCCCATAACCCACTATCAATTCGATAACATATGCAGCTCGAATTGCTGTCACAATCAGTAGTGAACTTGGTAGACACCAACAATCTCCTATTCCGTTGTTCATTGGTTTAAACCATGTTGGATTGCCCGCATGAGAGAATATTTTGTTCAAACATTTTTCTTCTTTAACACCATTGGTAATTAATTACGTGCTTGGAGAGATAGGTGCATTCCGAAGTTGCCATCGGAGATGGACATCCTACACGATCGGTATCAATGAGGAATCGTCTTCGACCCTGCTATGAAAACCGTAGACTAGTTTGATAATACCTTCTGTCACTTCTGCGAAGTCAAATTCTGGAATAGGGAAAATTTAGAGTTGATTTGAGATGAGGGCAACTTCCTTAACCACTCCAATGATTGAAGGTGAAGGAGTACAGGAAGCTCGAATCGCACCTCTGATCTCGCAGAGTAAGACAGTGACGGGATCATAAGCTGTGAATTGAAAAGGTTTCTAATGATGTTCCGTGGTATAATCTTATGAAAAAAAACCGCAAATCGCAATCGCAAAAACCTGGAAAAAGCAGTAGGCAACGGGTAAGAGCAAGCATATCTACCCTCCATCAGTGAGTATAAACTTCTTAGAGCTATTACTAAAGCAAAATGTCAACGCTTCTGCGGACGTTGGTGAGAATGCCCATTTATTCTCAAAACACTCAGGAGTCTTTTGATCATTTTAACGCAAAGGGTGAAAGCCCCTGAGGGCGAACTTTTGTATCCCCAAAAGCTGTTGTGTGTGCAACCTCAACCCCACGATGCCTAATTCGCGAAGTAAATGCAAGACGAATGCTCGATGCTTCGTAGACCGGCTGCTCAGCTAGGCCTTCACACCACTGCAACTCAGTTCAAAGAGAACGATCAGTTTTTTCGGTCCTTATGTATTTTGAACTGAATTTTTCTGTTTGAATTCTTTTTCAATATCGAATCGGTGGAAGCTTCTAAATTAGAAGGGCCCTCCAGGGAGCGGCAAGTAGATATAAGGGAATTAGATGCTTGGGTAATAGGACAATATGTAGCTACATCATTACCTTCAGACCATTACTGTTCACTATTGCCGCCCGAGTAAGTGTCAGGAGCAACTTGCATAAAAAGCCGTGTTATCACTGTAACCGAGCCGTCTTTTACTTACCCCTGGCTCCTCTGAAATTGATCTGCTCACAGGGTCCCGGTGTGCAGCAGTGATGAACACTCGTACTTTATTCGAACACAGTCGGAATATTTTCGCAAAGAACAGGACTCTACTGATTAGATGGCTTACCTGAGGTTATTGTGTGACTAGTTGATCTGGGCGGTTGCTCGATTGCACCAGTCAATGTCCGTATCAGCACTTTTCCCTAAAAGCTCTCCTTCCTAGAGATTTTGCAGCTCTGGTGAGAATTCACGTCTAGTCATTTCCAATACGTTCTAAGAAATTGAAAAAAGACAAGAGGCTCAATCCTTTGCCCCTGATAAATCTATAAGTGAAATGTGTTGTAATGAAGAGTTTTTGTGCCAAAATCTCTACTTATCTTCCTGAATGCCGGGAATAGATTTCTAGGCTCAAGTACATATCCAAAATAGTCTTTTCTTTTTTCAGAATGTCGCGATGGCTTTGCTGCCTTCTTATTCTTCTTGTACAGACGACTTCCGGAAAAAGGCAGCAAACCTCCCAAGCTTATAGTATGGGAGGTTACGGAGGTTACGGAGGTTACGGAGGAGGTTACGGAGGAGGTTACGGAGGAGGTTGCGGAGGAGGTTACGGAGGAGGTTGCGGCAGCTACGGTGGAGGTTACCGTGGCGGTTATGGTGGCTGCAGCACTTGCGGGCAGAGATCGGTGCCAGTTCCCGTTATAGAGCCAATTCCCGTTATAGAGCCAATTCCTGTTATCGAGCCAATTCCAGAAATTATTCCAATGGGAGTGGGACGGATGGGACTCGGCAGACCATTCATTATGTTAAACAAACAGGAAGAAAAAGGTAATTTCATAGCTCTACACAAATTACTAACTTGACTCCCATTTCACAAGTTTACGCAGTTGCTACCCCTGACGGTTGATACTACTTGAAGTTTAGATGCAGTAGAATGATTTGGTCCCATACGTGTTTTACTATCAACTCATTTTCAGGAGGCTCTTTTGCCAAAACGGGAGGAAAGATGTGAAATGAAGAAGTGGCTGCAGAACAAATTCGATTTGTAAAAACCCAAGAACCCAATTTTTTTTCGCAGTAATAGCTGTTGTTGCCTTATTTCAATTCTATAAAAATAATAAAAATTTAAAGATTATCGAACTTCAAGAGGATGTTCGAAGCTCTGTCAGGTACACGGTCAGGCAACAAATACATAGTTGTGATTCATTTGAAGAGTCACACAGGCGGTTAAGGATGAAGTTAAGGTCAAAAAACTTCGTTGAGCTTCCCGCTGTACAAATTCACGGCTCATACTTTTGCCATGTATACAAAACTTTTGCCTTCCTTTTATGTTTTTGGTGACTTTTCATTTAAGAGACCTCCCAAGGGATAGCTTGGACTTTCAGACGACATTGATTCTTACGATTTTTCTTGATGGCAGTTTCATTGGTGTGTTCTTATAAAGGAGAAAGATAAACAATCAGTTTATAACCCTATCTTTTTTTAACCAGGGCTTGCGATAAAAAATTTATAAAGCTTCCACACCAGTGAAAGAGTGGGTTGTAAATGAGCAAAATAGCTGCGACCGCAAAAAAAGTTAAGTCATGCCAAGCGCAGATAGACATCTTCAGACACTCCGAAACGAAATTGAAGAATTCTACAAGTTTACTATATATGTATACAGTAGCGCTCAAAAGTCTTCGGTGAAATGGTTCTTCAGCCGTACTTTTCAGTCGTAACTCCTTTCCTTCTGGATCTAATCATACGAAATTTCTATATTTAGAGCGGGGATGTATTGTGAGCATTTAGCACTACTGCCCTGCAGCCTGATTATGTTCCAGATATTCCAAAGGGCATAAACTCAAAATCGACTGAAAATACATATGATGGCCCTTCTGAAGTCTCTTTCCCTTTTTTCATGTCTAAATTGTACGGTAATGCCGAACACAATAGATGGAAAAACGCACATAAGGTGCGCATAAGGCAGCAAACACCTTGCTCTATCTGTGGACATTGCCGCTTCGCAGTCGAATAGTGTTTTGTAGGGTGAAGTACGCTCTCGTTAAACATATCCAAATTTTGCGCGATTTGGTCCACTGAGAAAAATGTTATGAACGAAAAAGCGTCAAAGCATTTCACCGAGGACTTTTGAGCGCTACTGTATGTAGGTGCGTCTGCTGATTTGTCTGTGTGTGTATGTATGTATGTGTAGGACCGGAAATTCACCACATCCAATCCCATATATCCTATACCCAGAAAGTTGAAATCTGGAATGAAAGAATCGCATTCTCCTCCCTTTTGTGTCTAACTGGCTTTTTGGAAACTCCGCACAGAATCTCACACTCCCTTTTCGACGGTGTCCGGTCCTGGCCCCCACCATCGGTCGAAGAGGGTGCGTGAGATACTGTGCATGAGTTTCCAAAAAGCCAGTTAGACACAAAAGGGAGGAGATTGCGACGTGAGTCGGGCGATTCATGTGGCACATATTGGGTTTATAGTATCTTTTTTGGTCGAGAGCCCTGAAAGGCTTTCACTTTGATCCAAGCTTCTGGTGTTAACCTCGCTATTTATGAAGCTGACACAAGCCCACAAACCGAAATAAAATGGAAGCTTCCGGATAAGACTATGCAAGCTGCTAAGATATTTTGGATACGCTATAAAAAGACATGATCTTAATCATTGCGATGAGAAATCGCGCAACGTCACAGAAATTCGCTAAAAACACGCAGTGAAGATGTTAGAAAAAGGAATTTTTATTATGCGAAGTGAAGATCCGATTGTACGAGTTTAATGTCATTATGGTAGAACGAATAAAGACTTGTCTTGCATCAAATCCGTCAAAGAATGCCTAGCAAGTCAATATAAATTTGTTGGTGAATCTTTTCTTATGTTCACTGTATAGAGCCCATGTTTTGAGATACATGAGCATTTACTTGAAGATGTAAGTTTGTTGTCTTTGTTGACATACATATGTTTGTCGTTTCATTTGGTTTTTTTTCAACTTTTAACCTTTTAACTCAAATTCACTCCCAATTAACTCAAATTCTCATTTTCTACTGACAGTCGCTTTCCTCTTTACAGTGAAGCCTGAAGAGTATTCCTGATGGGTTTCAGTCGTTGTTTTGTTGAAGGGATTATATGCTGTTGGATATTTGAACCATCCCAAATTGCGTTTAGGCTTCTGTAGACAAAGATCACGTCGAAACCTTAATCGAACTGTAGTCGCTAATTTGATGAAGTGTTCCACCTGTAAACCTTGAACGTCAAAAGAGTTTCAACAATTCCAATTTGATTTATCTTTGGAGTAATACACGTACATTGGAGAAAGAGAGTTACAGAGGTAGGGAGGGTACTGAGCACATGCCAGAAAATCAATCTAGGTTGCAGAAGGAATCACTGAAATACGGAATATCTTGCAAAACTATGTGAGAGTTATAGGTAACTTTAAGTTGCGGAAAGCTTCACAGGGAAAACACGCCATCCTACCCGTCTGACAGAGATCATGCCAATTACCGTACTAGATCAGGTCAATGAAGACAATCAAAGCAATAAATCAGTCATAGAGTTCGTACAGCTTATAGACCGTTTTTTCAGTTATTTCAGATGACCATCCCATGAAAACATAGAAATTACTTCGAGGAATTCCAATGTGAGGTATGTTATGAGGACAATGATTACTTTTCTGCAACTTGTAGTACTTTGCTGAATGACCTCCGTGAGCTTGACGACTTCTCAGACGGGCTGCGTTTCAGCCATGAACTTTTTTGACACCAACCCAGACATCTTTTCACGAACCGTCGATACGGGCTCACATAGTATATCGTTACAATTGGATCAACCAGAGTCGCTGAAAATTGAACACTATTTTTAGAAGATGTTGAATTTTCGGCTTCCCATCATGGAATATAATATAGTTCCGAGAGAACTTCGATACACTCCCATCCATAATACTCGCATCATCCCAAACTAATTTGCTGGGAACGGGCAAGCAAAAGTGCGCCATGAATCCGATATTGCGTAATTCCAGGGATCTACGCAACACTCTGCTGCAGTATGACTGCCCCGAACTTGTAATGGACCGATAAATCTGCCCTAAAGTAAGACACTTCTTCGCTCTGCTTCCCATTTTCCGTTTTATCGTTTGCATCCCATCCAGTAAGTTACTCCTCCAGAAGAGATGCTGTCCTAAAGAAAAGTTTCGGCCTTATCAGGTAATGTCTTTTATACATTCATCCTAAACATTGCTTTCGGATATGGTAACCGTTGGATTTGAATGATCGGATTTGTTCACCCACCTATTGACTCATAAAGTTTCCTGCATAAAAAAGTTTGTAAGGCTCACTTTTAAAATTTGAATTAGAACTACTCACCGATGCTCAAGCAAGATGTAATGAAGTAGCAATAAAAATGGTAATGAACCATTCCGAACTGTGTCAGCATATATGATATCGATGCAGGAAAAACAGTGAAGAGTGGGACCGTTGCTTGAACAGTCAGTGCCTGATATAATGGATTTCAGATTGCAATCGGAAGTTAGTAAGTGAAACACATCTTGAATCGTATTTCAAAGCTTTGAATGCGAGATGATTTAAACTGTCATCTAATTGCTGAGAAAAATACATTCCTTGCACTGAAGTGATTGAACCAGACAGCATAGGTGGAATGTATCAATGAGGCCGTATTAGAGGCAATGTAAGTTTTTGCGGAGGTGAATGATTAGTGATTGGCTGTTCTGTTTGCCTCTTTTTATCTCTATCTCTTTTTCTTTGACTACCTATCTACCTCTGCTGCTTAGCTCTCGCTGTTCGTGCAAGTTCTTCAACATTTTTCATAAGCCAGGGGGTGTCGGGATGCTATGTTCCTACGGGATTAGCCTCTCCACTCGGAAACACGCCATGTGGTGCGCCGTAAAACAGACTAGACCCCTTGCAAAAGCTCGCAGATTGAAGATTTCTAAGAAATAATGTGAATAGTACGAACAGCACTAATAGCTTGATCAGGCGAGGAAAATGGATAGGCAAACGAACAGTAGGTGGGTTAGACCTATGAACAGCTAGATTGTAATTCGTGGATGTAGATTGAACGTTCTGTTCCAGAGCGACCCCATCAAAAAGGAAATCGAGTAAAGTATCGTAAGGAGGGAGAAGAGGCCTCCAGCCATATCACTCGTCGGAGGAGGGGTATTTCGCCTCCGAGCATTCAGCAGGCGCAATCTACAATCTCTGTAGGTTCAGAAATCTGGCTTTTTCTGGGTTCAAGAATCCCATTATTTGCCTGATCAGTTGGCTCCACCACCATACACCGACACACCAATATAAACACACAGCGAATTATACGAGGTGTGATACTTCCTTGATAAATCGGCTTGTTCATTTCGTTCTGCCAGTATTCCAACTCTTGAGGAAATGATCTGCTCTGATTTTTATATTCAGTGGCTGATTTGGGAAGACGCAAAATCCGGTCCAGTTGTCCCATGAAGCAGATTGGGTATCTAACGATTGGAAAGCTACGATTCTATTAATTGCTCTACTGCCAAAGGTGTTTTATTTCTGCAAGACCTGGGTTTCAGCTTTTTCTCCATGTTCATCACTTACAGGAGCTGTAGCTTCGAAATTGAAACTCTTTTAGCTCACCTTGACAAGCCTTCGTATATAAACTTTTGTAGAGGGATGTTGTACAAAAGTCGGTTTTGACAGTGTATGGTGAATCTTCCAACGACAAAGGTACATCACTGCATAAATAGGTACCAACAGGAATGTCACACAGAAGGTCACCCACAGAATACAAGCCTGGAACAGATGCACAAACGAGTGTAGAAATCAGAAGTTTGGAAAGATGGCTTTCGTAATTAGACAACTAAGACCGCTCAAATGAGATGGGAGCTAATAGTGGGTCTTCATCCCCATACTCTAAGCTGTTATTCCTGATGTTCTTGATTTCTGTTTAAGATTTCTAACCTGACTCCGTCGCTATTCAGTGGGAACTTGACCTCCCAAATAACCAGTGCGATCTTACCTTTGAATGCCAACCATATCCCCTCCATTTTGAAGTTATTCTTCACCTACCTGATCAACCCTCGTTCCAACAACTGTGCGATAGTGTTCCAGGTACTTAACGGTATGATTCATGTAGTTGTCATTTGATTCATAATCGCTCACGTACTCCATGTTTATAGCGCCCAGCTGGAAAATGCAAATCTGGCCAAATTTTAAAAACAAGTATTTCCGAACCAGCCATGAGACTATTTTAGCAGTACTTACCACCATGGTGAGTGGTACGAAATAGCCAAGGAAGCACATGGCATATGCTGCTGATGTGGGAAATCCCAGGGTCAGGACAGCGACACATCGGAAAATCATTGACAACATAATGGAGATGAATGAATTGACTGCCAGATGTACTGAAAATATGTTTTTGGAACTTGAGAAAAGAAATTTCCCTCAATATTTGGCGTGTAATGTCACTTACAGTATGCTCGAAAAAAGGGAATTTCATGAATACTGCACTCTATTGGCAAGATTACACTAATCCTTTAAATTAAAATCAAAGCCTAATTTTGCCTCATCCTAGAACTGATTAAGTAATAGTCTATAACCAACTCACGCATAACAATAAGTAGCATGTAGCACACCCATGGTCCAAGATATTGCGCTGGTCCAAGGTACACGACGACGATGCGCATTTCATGAGAGTAAATCCTTGAAAGGATACATTAGGGATTCGGGAGAACATGAACAAGATGGATTTCATAGTCCCGTGAATATGTTTCACACCACCGAAGACACACCCAAGCGCTTCCAAACACCCGTCGCACAACGCAGTGAAAAATTGCTCTGGGTGAAGTTGGGGTAGGTTTCGGGGCACTAGGAGAGTTACTATTTCACATTTTCCCGGGGAGTTGAAATCACTCTAATGAAGTGCCAGGTATAGGCCATGAAGTGATCGCTTGAGCAATCCTATCGAAACGGTCCGAACTACCGAGTTTCTCAAATCGGGGATATTGAAAAGCGGAGCCTTCACAGTAATTAGCGGTAGTAGGTTGTCGTTTTAGATTTCTGGACACCAGCGACACTGTAGAGAAACAAAACATGTTGGTACGGATTTTGAAGAGACTGAATCGGTGAACCCCAAAAATGTGATGTTATCTGCAGAAAACGCGATTGGTGAACCCTTTACTCCTTCTCTAATTTGGAAAAAGTAGTATGCCGCTTCATGGGAGCCCGGAAGCGCCCCCAGAGACAATTCTGATTGCGCGATAGCAATATTACTACAAAAGCCTAGAGAAAGTGGATCCAGTTTAAAGGTATTTTGCTAGCTCTATACAAGGAACCTTACAAGGAAGGTTTTTTTCCATCTACCGCGGATCTTCAAACAACTGAGCTTTTACTTCCGACTATTATCATACATATTTACCTTGCAGAATGAGCTCTCAATTACAAAACGATTTGTACACTGAATCATGAATTTAAAAGAAAAAAACAAACAAAATTCTCGTGATAGAAGAAGAATTCGTAGCTTGAGAAACGAACTCACTTTGGTTCAACCATAAGCATTACCAACGCATAGAGTAATTGTGTAAGTGCAGTGTTAGCCAGAAAAATCCGGTATGGCGTGAGCTGTGGTGGACTTCTACATACTATCATGTAGAGAAGAAAGCAATTGGCAGAAATACCGAGTAAACCATTAGCTGTTATGCATATCATATAGAGCAGGTCCGATAGCGTCAAAAACATTTTTCTGAAGAGCCTGCAGTTATGATCTTCACGTATTATACATAATTACGACAATCTTCTCATGATGCACAGGAATTGAACGAAACGAGAACGAGCTGAACCACAGGAATAATAAATTCGAGAAGACGAGGAACATGGTGGGGCAGTTTCGAGCCGCCTCTATGGCACCTGTGAGCTATGCGGAATTCAATAGCTCTACAAAAGCATCGAACATCTCCTACATTGAGAGCTCAAGCGGAACGAGATAGCATGTTGACATGGCGTCTCCACTGAAACACATGATGACATGCTTTCTTTTTTTTGGTGAGAGGCATAATTAGTGAGATCACCATGAATAACAATGGATTCTACGAAAACATTTAAAATAAGAAGCATAATCAGCTACCTCTGCAGGGATAGCAGCGAGTTCTACAAAATCGTAATTCAGCGATCATCAGAAGCTTGAAGACAAATGTTTTTGAGGAAGTCTGTTAAAGAAAATATCATATTAAGCGTCTTCCGGGAAGAACAGATCTGCACATCATGTTTACTTTTGCTAATTTAGCATAAAACATTAGAACGGACGTGGAGAAAGTGCAGCTGCTGAGGGGTACGCATCGTCCTATTATGGATTGTTAGCAGAAATAGGACCGGCTTGATTTTCCATCAGAGGTAATCAATTCTTTGGACACAAAATTGTCAAAAAGATAGTCAAAATGACAATGAAATTCAGAGACCTTATGTATTTTTTTTGGAATTAGTATGTAATTCACGGAGTGGTGCCTGGAATTAATGCATCAATTTTGTATGCGAGAACGGATGCGTGGCGTGCGTTTCACAACTGGACCAGCGACCACAAAACTTTTCAAGCACTCCTCGAGTACGTATGCTTTAAGGCGAAAAGTAGTAGTCCTGATCAGAAAGAAATACAATTCATCCAAAAAGATATGGAGATTCAAGAGGGCAAAGGAGACGCTGTTGAACTTTTTTCGGGTAGTCTGCCCTTCCAAAGAACTTTTTCGCGTAGTCTGCCCTTCCAAATGCAGTATAAAAACCTGAACAGGTCTTTTGCCACCTCTAGTATTGCTCCTTATTTACATCCTAATAGCTCCAAAAACTTTCCTTTTCACCATTTCATTGGACTTGGTTTTTCATGAAAATGATGCCGGCATTTCCCAAGTATAGCACGATATAAAAGGATACGAACACATATGTACAATACGGAATTGAACCCCGAGCGGATAGTCGTATGGGTGGGAAGGTCATCACAGATGGCGGAATTCGATAACAACTGCTTTTTTCAGGTAAATAAAAGGATCTAAGTATGCCGGCTAATGCACTGAAATGTCGACTTAGACTCTTAATCGCATTAAACGCGAGAACGCCGTGCCATCGTCGTGTAATACTACTTGTTGACGGGGCTGATTGACTACGTAGTGTCATAGATAGATTATAGCTTCTAGCAATGGACGACCTTATAATACCAGATTTGTTGTAGATCAGGAGAATAGATTCAGTAGAAGCCAGTATCCTGTCAATACACTAACGAAAAATAGGAAATTTCCCGAAAAAGGGAATTCATGCTTGCAAATAGTAATAGAAGATCTGAAGAAGAAAAGAAGAGCAGTAGTGAGGGGGAGAGCTCGCGAGAGCCTTGCCTACTACAAGTGCAGGACCGCCTTTCCTCGGAGCAGTTATTGCAGTTTGAAGAGTAAAAAGAAGGTCGTCCACCACTTCAATCCCTTTCTTTTCGATAGCCAAGTCTACCGCCTACCTGCCATCTTAGGTAGGATGGATAAGTCGCTCGGTTCGATTAAATCGAAACGTCCAAAACGCCTCCCACCAGTTGTCGTCGAAATCCCGGCTAGATTTCGCGGTACTTGTCTGAATACCCAGGTCAAAGTACCAAGGTCGTGAAAAACTAGCAAGACTATGTTGCTGTGAAAAGGTAAAGGCAGACGATATTGGCAACCATCGCCCAATCTGCATGCTGTCTGCTGCAATCCGCAAGCTTTTCACACGCGTCATCTCAAACAGGATTGGTAGAATATTAGATGAAGGACAACCATGCGAGCAGGCAGGGTTTCGGAGAGGATTCGATGCAGTCGATTATATCCTTACAATAACAAGACTCAATGAAGTATCGCAAATGTACAAGGAACCGTTACGTTTGACGTTCATCGATCAAAGGAGGCCTTTTGTACCGTTGGGAAAGATGCGGTAATTGAATCCCTGGGCAACCAGGGTGTTCCCTTTCAATAGATGAGGGTGCTTCGTGAGCTCTACGACAGCTTCATGAGCAGGATTTCACCACTCAATGACGAGGTCATTATCAAGGTGAAGATAGGGATTCAGCAGGGCGGTGCCATTCCGCCCCAACATTTCAGTGCTTGAGAAAATCACTCATCACTTTGAAATTTGATGACTTGGGAGAGAAGGACGACTGCCGCTTCTTACACTACCTCCGCTTTGCAGATGTCATCGTATCTACAACACCGAACATTGAATAATCAGAACGAATGTTGACCGATAGCGCTGACGGAAAGATCGGCTAATGGCTGAACTTATCGAGAACCTTGTTGTAAAGAATATTTCTGATATTCTTGCATCGAAAAGTCAACATGATAGACGACCTAGCTCCGGACTGAGCAAGAGGAAACGAATGATGTAAGGAGGACATAGAACTCCTAGGGAGTCTTGATAGAACGTAGGCAGCATTGTAGAAATCATCCGTTACTGTATAAAAGGCTATGCTTAGCTCCTGATATACGAAAATGCAAGTGCTATCACGATATTCGAATTCCGCCAACGTCCGCCAAGGTCAGGGATGCCATTGGTTACGTCAAAAAAGTGGAGATCACGTCGGCGAGAAACTGCGATGACCCTTGTTCTAAGTCGGTTACTGACTGGACTTTTAGGCCCGCCAAACAAGCGCCCGGACTGCTGCCAGCGCGATGGCCTGAACTACTCTTCGCGGAAGGTCTGGGCGAAAAAAACCAGAGGACGATCGAGCGAGGACGATCCAGTGCACTGTCTTAGGGAAGAATGGATACGTTTTTCTCGCTCGAAGAAATACTTGGTCAGTGTAACGACAGGTGATCTTATTGCAACATTTCTCCGCCAGGATATCCGGTATAGTCACTTTCCACTTGAGAGGCCTCCCTTGATAATGCATAGATTCCAGAGAATAACAAAATTAAACTCAATAGTTCTCCTTATCCTTACTTCCCTAAACTCTGGTTGCCATGTGAGGTATAGCTTGGTCCGCAAAATCTTGATGCGATTGATAAAAAGGTAAGAAGTCGGCAGCACCAGAACTAAGTTTATGTCGTAATGCAGTTAAAAGTAGTTGTCAGCTCGCCTTGAAATGTTTTGTTTGTGACGACTGCAAGAATGGAGGGCATGCTGGTACACTCACTGTGGGCTGTGAACTACGTGCCAGTGCCTCCTACTACATAGTGAGTCGATAGTAAGGAGCGGTTAGAGAAGAAGTTCTTACCTAGAGTCATGAATCCGAAATGACCCAGGTAAGAACCCAACGAACTTGTTACGCCGTCACGCACGTATTCGGTAAATTAGGAATCCGAATATACAGTGTGTGTGTGTGTGTGCAACAATCCCGTAAGATTCTAAAAAAGATGTAAAACACCTGTAGAAGAATGCAACACAACGTCGAAACGATGGAAGAATGCATAAAATTGGTCAGCGACCCAAACAGACCTGGTTGTCAACACTAGAGTGCCTCTGAAGGGTTTGGACGGCAGGAAAAACCGGCGTCGTAATTGCCTATCACCTCTACTCTGCCAGCCCGGGTCACCTGAAGAACGTTTCGAACCTTTCCTCAACAGAAATATTCATCAAGGCGAGACTGACTGCAGAATGACGGCTGAATCTCTCAACAGACTAGTCTCAGTCGAAATCTAGTTATTAGTACAGCTGGCATTAGTAATGCCACCAGCATCAGAAGTTGTTGACGTTATGGAGTGGTGGTAGGATTGAAGTTTTCCAGAGTGCAATTTCTTGGGCGTTGAAAAACACTTTGTTCAGAGTCCTTTCTTCTCCATGAAAGTTGGAAGCTGCCTAAATGAACGTGGAAAGGGGGTGCAAGTTGGTGGAATATGGAAGTGTTCTTCAAGTCAGACACCGTTCCGAAAATTCATAGGAATCAAAAAGATATTACGCGTTTTTAGGTAGTCAGGAATGCTTCTTATAGCAAGAAAATGTTCATGGCTAAAATCTACGAAGAATGCAATATGTCCAATTCTTCTTCTTCTTTCGAGCAAGTGACAGTCACACCACATCGTATCCTTGCTTAAAGTATTACTTCATGCTTGATATGAAATTGCGCTATGAACTGGTTCAAGCCACGTGCTGCCGTTCAAAATGTAACTAGAATTATGCAGATACTATAATATTATGAAGGATGAAGGATAAAGTTTCTGCCGTTAATCAATCCCGCCTGAGGGGTGCGCCCTGCATTCCACTTCCATTCAGAATATTTATGGTTAGTGGCATAATGTGTGCGTATGTGGCCTATACAATAGTGATGGAGATTGACAACACTGTTCAGAAGCGTTATAAAGTCCAGTAAAAAGAGGGAGTATAGTTTAGCAAGCAAGATGATTCAAATTCCGTGGTAAGTAGGGTGGCCAACACCATACACGGCATGGTGTCGCCGTGGGAGGAGTTTGGGTCAGTAGCTTCATCCTAGGAGGAATTCTTGAGACCCATCTATGCCGTGAACTTCGCCTCGGATCACCGTAGGACACCTTCAGCCGTCTTTTCACTGATTCACTAAGACTGAGACTTTATCCCTGTTGCGATGATCTGTTCAATACAGATTTCATATGCAAGTAAATGAAACTGGGAAAAATAAATGAATGAAGAAGGGAATCCTATCGGAAGATCTACAGAGCTCTTCCCTATATAATATGGCAACCAAAAAGTTCCATTTCACAACTGAAGCAAAATGGCAAATATGGAGAGTAGAGGCTTCTTTAGTTCTACTGAGAGAATGATCC